ATCCAATAAACGTAAAAACGGCTGAACTGATCGGGCCAATTTTTTGGGGACCTTACGTGACCCCAGGGAACGTCTATGGATGATTGAATCAAAAAAAATTGCTTCTTACAAAATTCGATTTTTGAAAATTTTGAAAATCCACGACATTTATTTTATAAAATCCGCAAATTTGTTTGTTTTTTTGTTTTACAATGTATACATAGAGAATATGTTCACAATTGAAATAGAAGATGGGCCCGAAGCGCCCTAAAAGTCTGGTATTCAATAAATTTGCTCCCAGTTAATATGGTAATACCGCAATAATTAAATGAATTTTGAGCTGAAAGTGTTTAAGAAAAAATATGATAAAATTAGTAATAATGAATGAATAATAATAATCTGAAGTTGACGAATTATCAAAATTTCGTCTGTCTTTCTCTACAACATTTGAAAATTACTATTCTGAGTATCTATTCTAATCTTTTCGGCCAAAATAATTTTTATACTTTTCTGACCACCCCGCAGAGGAGGGACAGGTACATATCAAGTATTTGGTTACTGGGGGGCGGGTTAATGATGGGAAAAAAAGATTGCAACAGATTGTAAACAATGTAGGGTAGGGAAGGTACACTAGGAGCAATGCTTGAGAAGGATGGGGTGTAATGTGTATGGTATAGGGAGGAACGGGATGGTGGAGTGGCAGGGGATGAATAAGAGAGAAAGAGATGGTTGGGTGGGTGGGGGGTCTAAATGGATGGTAGAATGGGAGGGAGAGGTTACAGATGAAAAAGAAGATCCTTCACAATTGCTATCCAGGGACTAACTAATACAAACCCATGCAATTATAGTTTAATTCATTCATTCTTCTATTCATCCTTCATTCATCCATCCTTTCTCCTTTCTCCTCTTCATCGTAAGGCATAGAATATAAAATTTGTTATATATTTATATATTGTTGATATTTTTAAATAATTTACAAGTTTTACATGACTGTCAATATCAAAGATATTTTATGCTATTTTGCAACAAAAATTAGATACAGAGAGGAAACTTTTATTTTTCTAAAATTAATTACCAACCCATCCTAAAGTAAATCTCAAAATAAGAATATTGTATAAACTACATGTATTGATGTCTTAAGATGTTCCCCAAGAAGATTCCCCTACTTCCGGGAGCTGAGTCAGATTCCCCCACCCATTTCCCTCTAAACCCATATTCCCCCCCCCCCTTGAGAGAATGCGAGGATACCCTGGTTTATTCCCCCTCCCCCCTACTACTTTATAGCCCATAAACCAATTCCCCATCTAGTCCCTGCCCATCCTGTCATCCTCCAGCAAATCCCCCCTCTCAGCTTTACATCCCCTATCCCCCCCTACTACGGCCTATCCTCTCTGCCCATTTTGCTTTTATATTGCCCATTTGTTTCATGAAAGATACAAAGTGAAACATAGAAATTAATTTATAACATTCAGATTTTTAAATTAATTATTTCAAATGTAAATATTTAGATATGCTGCTTTAACAATAAAATAAAGTAAAATGTGATTGTGAGGTAGATTGAAAAAGTTAGTAAATTAAGAATTTCGAAAAAATTTCAAGGTAAAATTTTTGAATTCAAAATCATTATGAAAATATAATATAGTTTTGTTTATTTTAAAAGAATTTTTCTACTTGTTATTTCAGTCAAATTGGTTCATTTGGTCTAGTCTTTTTTCCATGTCATTACTAAGAATTTATGAACATGTTAAAAATGGATAAATTTATTCAATCTCTGAATTTCTAAACTCCCCAGCACTCCCATTGATTTACTCCACATATGTCCAGTAATTACTAATAGCACTGAATAAAATGTTATCTCAAATTAGAATCTATTTTACGCTCAATATGTATATATATGTATATATATACACAAAGATATAAGGCTCTGTATAATCTCTGATATATCCCTCTAAAACTAATTAAACATATTTGACCAGTAGACCACGCCGAACCAAACCTCCAGATTAAATTTGGGCCAATTTTTTTAGAGCCTATTTTGACTTTCTATTAGTCCATCTTCTTTTTGTTTGTTTGTAATTAAAGCGTTAAACGCTAGTTTGAAGGTTTATATTCAAATTCACAATTCCGATTTTTTTAATATACCGTGCAGAACTGTCTCCCTCTATTTAAGAACTAGATATATACCAATTGTTACCGTTATCTCATGTTTTGCAGGACATATATATATAGGCTCAGCTAGATAATTTTATATAAGAAAACTCTTCGCTCTTATACATATATATATGATATTTGCAATGTAAGGATGTATATATATATATGTTAGCTATTGCGGGCCAAACGCCAGGACCAAATATATAGGCTAACATTCTTTGAGGGAACCCAAAGGTACTGATACCCCGGGGGTAACATTTATTCATTTATAAAGAAGGGCCTCACTTGTCCTTTAAGTGACCTTAGAAAAAAACGACCCATCAGCACCCCCATTAGATAATGAAATGTAAGCCTCAGGCTATACAATTCGACATTTGTATTCTTCAAAATAAGATTTCTTTAATTCCGGCAACGTAAGCTAGTTTAATATAGAATTACATTTGTCAAAATTTGTANCCCCCCCTCCCCTCTGCCCAACTAAACAACCTTCTAAATCCCGATCTCCGCCTAATCCATGTATATTGTGGATAATGTCTATATCCCATAGTATAGTTAAAGTAGGTAAACTTTACATAGGGTGTCCTAGAAAAATATGAGAGTAAAAATAAACTTTTTGTGTCTTCAATTAATGACGTTAAATATATCTTTTGATTAAAATAAAAGCCGTTGTTAATTATTGTTTTTGAAAGTTTTTTTATAAATGGGGAAAAGGTTTTTATGGAAAAAGCATGTTTATAGAAATTAACCTAATCTGATAATAGTTGGTCTTTCAAACGTTCTTTTCAATTTTTCCCTGTAAAACCAATTTTTGTGACACCTCCAGTATAGTTTTATCTTCTTAAGGTTCCGCCACTTTATATCTTAAAACACTCTCACTTTAGATTTATTCTTTAATCCCTTTCCCAGTAGAGGGGGGG